TTGTCACTGCCTGGTATCTGGCCCGGTGACGAATCATCTCATGCTCAGGGCTGTTGAGGTACCTTCGAATGACTCCCCCAGATGAATGGAGACCTGGTCATATTCCTGTGGCGATCAAACTGTGGAATATCTCATTCCTACAGAAAAACATTGATGGTGTTTTCCCTCCCAGATACCAGTGAGTGTTGATGCATACTCCCGTCTGCACGAAGTAAGCGCAAAGCCTCCCCGGATGAAACCCTCAATGAGGCAGCCATTGAACTCCCAACCGCAAACCAAAAAACAGCCTCAGAGGTAGGGGAGTCCCTGTCTGCAATCACTGTTATATTTAGGCTTTGTGCAACCGGACGAAAGCTTTTTTCACTGGAAAGCTCCAGGTTGAGTTCGTCTGTCTTGGGAACGACTGGCCAGAGAGCTCGAGCACATCCAGCGCCAGTAAGCAAGCAGTGGAGATAGTAGGGGCCCTGTTGCTGTTGTGCCCAGGAACTCCTGCGTGATCATCAGCAGGACGAGGCAACAAACTGGTATACTTTTTTGTTTATCTTTTTTGACTCATTCGGTAGGGTTACGCCAGTCATGCAGAATGCAATCGGAACAATCCCAGGCCGGAGTCCAGTCATCTCCGACCACAACGGTTACATTGATAATGCCCATTGAACGAGGGCTTGTAGCCGACCATGGATCGACTCCAGGAATTCAGTCCTTCCCGTGCTGAGACTGCTGAGAGTGAATGGTCATTGCTCAGGAACTGTCATCATTCCTGTGGCTTTCCAGTGTTTGATCCTTGGGACTTCAGCGCCAAAGGGGGCACGAGGCACGGAGAGTGGTGGAGGGGAAAAGCAGAGGGCAGATGACCCAGTCGGACTGGAAGGTCACGAGCGCGGGCGCTAGGGTCGATCAGGGACCGTGCGTCATGTCGACCGTAACTTTACCGTTCAGTCACTTTGGTATCTTCTCTTGCCTTCCGGGGCCAACCTTCATCCATACTTACTCTAGGGCCAGATGCATCATATTACATAGAATGGCAACATACTCACTTACTATCAGTAGAGATAGACTGATTCGATGCATGCAACATACAAAGCACATATTAACAAAGTTTTGAGACTAACCAGAACATCTCCATTTCCATCCCCACTCCTACCGAGGCCCTCTCTCACTCGCTCACAAATTAATTCCTTCAAAGTGGCAAAAAGTACATACTCTATCCCCTGTAACCAGCAAGTAGATAATCTAAAAAGAACGCTGACTGACTCGACTCAGAGCAACCCAACCACCACAAACCCCAGATCTCCTACCCATGACCAACACATCGGGAACCATGCATAGCCGTCCAGTCCAAACCTCAATCCCCACGAACGACCATCTTATAAGTATTATCTGCAGCCAGCATCTGTTATCATCAAGCTACTGCTGCTGCTGCTGCTACTATAACCCGCCCCGCTATCTGCCATAGGAATCGACCTACACACACGGGTCGGCTCAATTCAAGCTTTCCCGTTTGCATGCAGCGTCACCTTCATCTCGCTTCGCACTAACAAGGACCGGAGACATGTAGGGGAATCAACGTACACTAGCAGTTGAGTAGTAACGTTCGAATCAAATCAAGAACGGACAGACCAGGCTGCATCACGCCAAGCCCGGCCAAGTCCCTCCAGACAAGGAATCGGCCTGCTGCATGTCATCAGCAGGACACTTTGCCATAGCTCCACTTGCAGATGCTAGGCTGAGTAAAAGATAGTGGTAACTAAATCTAATGGTATATGCTGTGTGTATTAGCTGCGACAGTAGATAGCGATATTATCGGGACCATGGTTATCTAGCCTAATAATCTATTCAAGATGTACTATTGTCACTGACTGAATAGCATGTAGTGTATATTAATCAACAAACCGGCTGACTTTAATCCGGTTACACACATGCTCATCCTATCCTAACACAGAATATACCCTCTATCTATTATTAGTACCACACAATGCATATCATTACACAAAGTCTTCTACAATGCAGCACAGCATAGCCCCCGTTCTTTATACCTCCATAACTAGACAAGATAACCCAACTCTCAGCTGAAAACATAGACAGATGTCTATATACTGAACTTAATGGCAGATCTAAACTGAATCCTCAAGCTGATATATACTACCATAGAGTCAATATCCTACAGCAAGTCAGATATAGCAGAAGAAAACATAGCAAGGACAACTAGTACTAGTAATGAATAGTAATGGCCTTGAATGGTAGTAGGCACTACTAAGCACTAAGTTCGGTGGCATGGTCGGTCAGGGTGGTGTACTGCTACTCTTCCTGGCTGACACAGGAGAAAAATCCTTTAAAAGTGGGTGGAGCCCCATTCATGTCTATAATGAAAGTATAGTAAATACAAATCCGGAGGCAAACTATAATTAAGACCATATTAGAGAAGCGGTGATAACACTAGACAGAAACCAGAAAAATCACAAAATACGGTTCTTATTTGTGATAGAAGATTTCTGCAAATTTTTGGGGGAATGTCTTCTTTCATATAGAGTCTATTTATCTATAAGCGCAGTGACGCTACAAACTGGAATGTGACTTTCATGTGTAAACCCATACAATATAACTAATACTACCTATATCTTAGTCATTAAGCTCTGCATAACTATTTACTAACCACTAACAATAGCTTCGTAGACTTGACTAGTGGATAAATTCAACCATCAATCAACACTTCAAACAGACACTAAATCCATAAATCTAGTCGTGATAACATCTCAACCAAGATGATTTCGATTTCACCTCGCTGTGAGAAGAAGGGGAGGAAGATTCAACGGTAATGCGGATGCTCCCGGTTAAAGAGGTGGATCTCTCGTAGCGGTCGAGATGATTTTCAATGTTACCATTATGATGTCGGGCCATCAAGTCAGGTGGAGGTGGAGATGGGGATAGAGAAGGATAGAAGTGGGTGGTGGGTTCTTGTCGGATTTGTGGTGGTGATGAGGAAGATGATGTCGGTGATGGGTACATTTTATACATTGATCAGGCTATAGTCAATATAAGTGGCCTCTGTAGGTGCCACTATGTATGGCATGTTGTATGATACTAATGAAAGGTATATGATAATGAGTGTATGAGGATGCTTGAGATATGTATAATGATGGAGCACCTATGGCAAGTAGTAGGCAATGTTCAACTTACGTTGACTGAGGTTGAGGTCAGGTTTGATAAGTATCTTGATAGGGAGAACCAAGGGTAGGAAGGGACTGTTTGCCACTCTACTAGTAATAATTGTTCAAAGCAACATTATCACTTACATGTAGTAGCTATTTGGATATCTTGTTCTTTACTTATATAGTTATTGATCTGTAGAGGTAGTATGTATTATCCTGTGCGTGTGGGCATCCTATCATATTGGTAACTAGATTATGACTGAAGGAAGTATCTACAAGTCACAGTGGTTCTAGGTGTTGTTGATTGTCCTCATTGAGACTGAAACTCCCAACGAGCTCTGCTAAACATGTCATCTAGGAAGGCATATCGTGTGGTGCTAATTTATGAGACGTTCTCAAGTGCCAGAAAGCTGCTATAGCTCGAGCTATACGAAGTGATTCAGTCAATGGCGGGGTTATAGAGGCAATTATCTAGTTAATTGTGAAGGGCCTGGTTTTATTGCTCTTCACCAGTGCATAGTAAGCACAAGGCCATCAGAAAGATCGTGATTGTCCTTCTACTGAGGTTAGCCTAAAGTCAGTCGTTGTAGCACCGTGAGGCCCTTTGTATCTCAATATTCATGGCGTGGAAGTGATGAGGTTAAAATCAATGATCCAAGGTCATCCAGTAACTATTATGATGTGTAATTCAAGTGGCTTAGAGAATAGTTTTGGGGAAAATCCACTCGCGCTGGTGGCTATAACTCTCCACGCTGTGGCAGAAACTCGTCATATGCACATATGCGCAGGAGAGCAGTTGCCTACAGGTTAGTCCGCATGTGTGGTTGCCCGTGTAATAGCTGCTTCAGTACACCTACACTGGGCCATTGACATAACGTTGTTTTTTTCCTCTGCTGGGCAATTTTCAGGGACTCGGGACAGTTGTCACATCTTGATGATAGGGCACGAAGGAATGCAGGGATGAAATGCCATCTTTGTCCGCGGGAGTGTCCGATGACCTGAGGTATGTGCATTCTCAACCTACTCGGCATACCAGACTCTATGAAACTGGAACAGCTAGCGAAAGAAAGTTTACCTGTGAGGACAGCAATCCATCGCAAGTCACGGTAAGTTCTCGGGCGTGGCTGAGCGAGAGAATTTGACTGATTGGCCAAGCTCGTGGTTCAATCATGCCATATGGCGTGATGTCAGAATGGATGACAATGACAGTATTGCACTGCAATTTACCCGGCGTCCAAAGCGAAGGTAGCTCGCATCTCCGTACCTCTGACCTAAACGGTCACATACAGACAGGCCGCCCGTCCTATCTGTACGTACAACTAGGAAACGCATCTAATCATGTTAGCCAGGCTGTTGAAGGCGAGGACGCCACGTAATGTCGCTGTTGTTCGCAGACCGCGCACACCGACAAGGGTGATTTTCTCCGCGCATGCTGACACGTACACCTTTTAAACCAAGACTGACGTTCCAATGAGAACACTTTTTATCGTGCCGTTCGAAGGGTAGTCTTATCAGCGTCGGGAAAACCATCTGGTGTTGATTGAACCAATTTGCTGAGGGTACCACCTTATGGCACCTTGACGACGGGAGCGTAGATTGACTGATATTATGCCCTGCACTAAGCATGGACTCCCCATGCCTGCCCTGTTAGCTACATTTTCCACCAGAGTCACCAGCTCAACTAGACCAATATCTAGGTGCTGGATGTTGCATATCGGACAGGCAGTATTGGGTTTGAAATTATGACAGCATAGCACGAGCATTGCTGATATCCCTGAACACCGCGTCTACCAGCACTTTAGCTCTGCATTCATCGACTGGTCTGCAGTAATCGCGAAGTCATGAGTCAATATGGAACCACCGAACGGTACGTCAGGTTGTATCCCACGTCAGGATACCCACACCAACAGTGTATACGATTAATCCGTTGTGCTTTGTTAGCAGAACATGGTATTCGGCTAGCAATCATCATCGCAAAGATCTTTGACTGGGCAATGAAACTTTCAGATAAGCCCACCATGACTTCAGCACATGTCGTGGTTCGACACAAACATCATGACGAAGACCACCGGTTTCAGAGAGGCGAATCGACAGAGCACCACCGATAAATGACACAATCATCTCACGATCGACGCTATTGTGATGCAGGACCAATAGAATCACCACGAAGTACCCCGTAGCAGCCCGTAGCAGCCCCGTTATCAGGAGAGCTTAACTGAACGACATCCGTCATCACCCACGAGAATTTCCCGGGGTCAAGTGGCGGGAACAAACGGGACGTAACCATCCGGCCGTCACTCGATAGAATTGATGGGAGTGCATTGGCCAACCCTCGGCTATCATGATACCTTGACTCGTCTCTTGCGAAGAGAGCTCCCCCGGTTTCGGGACTATGAGTCACTGGCCTTGTGTTGTCGGGGAAGTCAGTCCCGAAGCTATTTACCCCAGATGGAGAAGAGCTGGAGGATGTCCGTTGCAGTTCCGAATCTTCTCCGTATCTACCGAGGTCGGCGGCGGCTAATCAGCAGGACCCTCCTGGACACCCGACTATTGATAGATCAACTCCCACTATGGAAGGGCAGCGCGCACAGTCGCAGGCTATCACGTCCGCTAGACGACCCACGGCGGGGCAAAAGTACGAGAGCAGCGAGCGAGGCAGTGGTAGAAAGGGAGATAGAGCAGAGATAAGCTCAAGCTGTACCAGAGAGTCATTGTGTCATGTCAAGTCAATGGAGAGGACCTCCATAATGAACAATGGATGAAGTCATGAAGGTGATTGTGCCAGGGAAACCAACTGGAGGCGCGAGTCTTGACATCATGGCCGGCGGTGGTCTGGCGGGTTCTCGGCCTTGGAAGGGAAACAGCTTAGTCAGGGCGCGAGGTTGATAGTTCAGCCGCTACACCAGACCGAGCCAAGTTTGATTAGTTTGATTAGTCTGATTTCGTTAGTTTAGTTTCAAGGTGAACTCTTCCTGTTTCCCCGTCCCTCGGGTGACTAACGGAAATAATTTTACCGTCCCCTCGGTTGCTCAGGAGAAAGAAGGGGAGAACAGTAGATCCGTCGGTGAGAGACGGGGAAGGGTGGGGGGGGGGGGGGGGGGGGGAACAACATTAGACTAGAAGGTCGCCAGATGAATCTGAAACCAACGCGTGTCCAGCTGATCACGCCTTAATAGATTGACGGTTTATTGCTTACGAAGGAATGGATTAATTACTCCGGGCTCCAATCCCCCATACTAAAGGAGGTGATCATGTGCGTTTCCCGACTCCACGGTCCACAGCCCTCAAATCCACTTAATCCGGCCTAGTGTTTCCCCTGCAACCCTAACTGCCCAAGCCCACACTAATCCCCAAATCGGTCAAGTGTTACTGTGTATAGCATGCACACTAGTCCTAGATAGTCCACGACCCCGCAAGTCATGGCCAATCAGAGTAACAGGCCCTGTCCATCCCTTACCGTTCCTACTGGTAGGGTGTTCGTCTCCAGATTTCTGGAGCTGCACATGGCTTGGTCGCGTTTGCAATAACCGTATTGCATCCATCCGACAGAAACTATGATATGAAGAGAGATCTTGGGGTTGGTTGGGGTGAGTTCGGGGAGAAAGAAGTGTGGTGGTAGAGAGTTGTAGAAAGACAAGGACTGAACTCTGTTTGCGACAAAGAGGAGTTACTGGCCGCGAATGGCAAGAAAACGGAGGGCATTTCCCAGGAATCGTGAGGGCAGCCAGGACCCCGGCGTCCAACATTCCACGGATTGCCGTCAGACCCGGACCCACTGGAAAGGTCAGCTGCCCGACCAGTTTTGCCAGTGGAGTCGAGTCGAGGCCCTTTTCTTTTTTAAATTTCTGTCCTGCTCGCTGCTCTTTCTCCCTGGTAACGTTTGGGGAGGGGGGCTTACTGTACAATCTGGCTGACTGACTGACTGACTGACTGACTGGACTGGCGGGACCGGAGTCTTTCCTCTCATTCCCTTTCGGTCACATACCAGAATCTTCTTTTACCTATCATACGCAGTTTCCCCCCTCGTCCCCGGAAAGGTTAAAAGATGATTGATGTAAAGTGGAAACAAAGTTAAGCGATGCATAATAAAAATGAAAAGTCATCCCATCATAGAATCATCACGAGATGGTAGACTACGAAAGAGAGAAAGAAGATGAGAGGGACAGCGTGGGCGGCCACGGTGGACTGACTAACTGACTGACCGATACAGGCAGTACACCATACAGTATACACTATACAGTAGTAAACTAAATCGTGGTACGAGTCTAGACCCGGGGATCAACCGCTTGCAGAATCTGCCAGATCAGATGGTCACCAGGACGGCTTTCTCTTTTGGGTGTTCCGTCGGTCACGATCCAGCCAAACCCAACCTTTCCAACTCTTCACTCTCTTTCCCCCTTAAGCCTTTTTCCCTCCCCTCCACTCGTTTCTTCTTATTCTCCTCTTCTCCTCTTTCTCTTCGCCTCCAGATTCTTATTTCCCCAAACCTTCAACCCCTCCCTCCACCACTGGGCAGTCGCTCCCACTTCTTCTCCAGCTGACTGCCTATTACTATTCCTGCGCCGTATAACTATCACTACTCCCATCCATCCAGTCATCCTATAAGCAATTGCTTCAATTCAATTGACTTGACTCATCATCACCACACTACACCCATTCATACCACATCAGTAGCAATTAGACTACTAGACTGTCATCACAATGGCCGTCACCGCCATCGATATCATGCCCAAAAAGCCCTCCTCATCTCCTCTCTCCTCCAACAACCCCTCCATGAATAAGCGCTTGCCCCCTCTGGCCGACAGGACCTCCCTCTCCTACAAACTCACCACCCTGTCCCGTCAGAAACTCGCCCGGGAGGCCACCGCTCCCGACCCGGACATTCGTCGCTGCCTTGGTCACTTCCGTCTGCACTGCATGTCTATGGAATGGACCCAGAAGGACATGTCGACGCGCATCAACTCGTTCGACCTGGAGGATGACGAGTCCGAGAGTGAGGAGGAGGACCGCGACGATGAAGACAAGAAGGGTCCCGAGGACCGCAAGGATGAGGACCAGGACCGCCAGTCCTTTCCCAAGAACAACGAGTCGGCTGAGAAGACCTCAGAGCCTGAGAAGACTACCGTCCAGGTTACCTTCCATGTGTCTGCTCCTGCATCAGCCCCTCAAACATCTACCGACAAAGAAGAGAAGGAGGAAAGCCTCCTCGAGAAGGGTCGCAATTGCCTCGAGAAGACCGTCCAGAGGAAAAACTTCTGGCCTTCTCCTGGCCAGTGCCTGCCTGTGCGCATTGCCGGCTGAGTCGCTATGATGCGACACATTTCATTCTACCTATCGACATTCTCATCTCCTCGCCACATCCCATCTCATTCTTACAACTCATTTCTTCACCAACCACCAACACCAACACCACCACACCGAAACACATAATTCTAATAATCCTCCCTAACGATGTCAACGAAATTACGAATCTCCTACCGTCTTAATCTCATTCGCTCATACATACTTGGCGGAGTCAACAAGCGACTCACTGATTGGTTTTACTTTGCTAGCTTGGAGTTGGTGCGAAGGTTAATCAGTATCACTATCATCATCATAACATCATCATCGGAGTTCAACCATGTTAGAAGGAATACGGAAAGGGAAAGCAAAAAGGAAAGGAACCTTGGAACGGATAACCAACATGTATTTAGTTAAAAGCACAACAATTAAATTAAACTACCCACATCATATCATACCATTATCCCAACATCTAAACCTACAGTAATATGTAAGGAAATACATAGCCACGTATATCCCCCAATCACCCAAGGCAATCACCTAATTACAATCTTCACTCTGCAGACCAAACCGATTCAAAAGTAATCTATCCGAAGCAACCAACCTAGCAACCAACCCAGCTAATACTGTAAGTAAATACATAGTAGATAGTTAGTAGTGTATACTAACCCTGCAGGGGTGTATCCCTGCACCTGCATTTGCATCAGCAGCATCAGCAGCAGCAGCATTAATACCCTACCTTACTTCCCTGTCTGTCTACCTTACCGTCTCACCTAATTAATCAATCTGACTATCTATAAAACAAGTAATTAACCAGTCACGATCCCAGAAACTATCACACCCATGTGATTACTATCTATCTATCTATCTTACCATTAGGCATTCATCATACACATACTACTTACTATACAGTAATCCTGATACCCAACCATACACACATACATACACGAAGAAAAAGAGAAGGGAAAGAGATGTGGCAACCCGCCACGCGGCCCAGCAAACATACACAGTACATACACAACATACATACATACATACGTACATACCTAGCATGGCGTGATCTGCTATGCACAACCACGACTCACTCACTCACGATATCATCACTCATCACTAAAATAGGAAGGTAACGCGATACCCCAACCTGGATCTATCCCCATCCTCATCATCATCATGGAGGCGAAAAAAGTAATTGTCGCCATCATAATCATGCTACCACCACTGTTTTTGATTTTTCTCCTTGATGACGATTAATGAGTCATAGGTTAACTGTGTAATAACTAATTGAGTTGTGTGGGTGTGTGTTGGGGTTGGGGTTGGGTTTGTTGCCACCAAACGCGAGCGGATAATGAATGGGTCGGTCTGGTTGGTAATGAATTTACTGACTTAGGGTAGGGATTGGCGTTGCGGCGACATCATTAGCATCATTCATCATCAGCGTTTATCAACGTTTATCATCAGGTTTGGGGCTGGGGAAAGTACTACTGTCTACTGATTACTTTTTGGGGTAATAGATTAATTGTTGTGTTGTACTTTTGTTGTCTGGGGAGGTATTGCATAATGGATGATTTAATTGCGGATTCTGAGTATACTATGATCCTATTTTAGTTTGTTTGCATGCATATGTTCTAACCATCATTCAATTCCAACTCTGGGTATTTATGTTCTAACTACTAATTAATTTGCAAACGCCCGCTAACCCATACTTAACAATCAAAAAGAAGAAAAAAATGTAAAACGCCACTATGCAAAGTCATCATCATCATCCCACCCCAATTGTGCGTAGATTGACTTCTCCGGCGTCACAGGCACAGTCGGAGCAGCAGTCGGCACGGCTAATCGGGCGGCACTTGCACCCTTCACAGGCGTAGCAAAGACATTGGCCTTAGCCGGGGTGGTAGTAATTGTGGTCGTGGCCTTCACAGGTGTCCCTGCCACTGCCGCCGGCTCAGTGGCTGTAGGAGCAGAAGGAATCGAAAGAGCAGGGGCCATGGCCGGTTTCTGAGGCGTTTCCACGATCATGGACGGCTTGCTTGAGCCGATGGACTTGACTCGGGGCATGAAGGCGTCCACGTGTCGGGCTGCGATCGGCGTGGTTGGGCCCTTTTCAGTGGCCCGAAAGGCAGGAGGAACAGGGGCAGGGACTGAAGTTGGGGCCGGGGCCGACTTGCTGGGGACGCGGAAAAGGGGTCCTGAGATTTTTCTCTTCGGCGATGCGCTGATATCAGCTGACGATAGAGGCTGGGTTGGTCGACGCGTGGGCGTTTCCTGGATCGCCCCGTCGTCGGCAGATCGGAAGAGCCCTGAATTTGAGGGTCGGATATTAGAGCCGGGAACAATTTGTGGCTCGCTTGTGAATGGGGAGGAAGATGAAGATCCCTGGGGTATGAGGGCTGGTTGGGAGAGACTCTTTGGAAGAGGAGGCATGTCTGCCATGGCGTCTTTCTTGCGACTGCCTTTGGGCGTGGCAGCCACCTGCACGCCTTGGCCGTAAGGGTTGCGCACTGGGTTCTTGGGCTTGCGTGAGCTGCCGCCGCCGGTGGACAGACGTTTGCTGGCATCTTCGGCGATATCTTTGGCTACGAGCTCGCGGTTGGGTTTGCGCAAAGCATGAATGGCTGCGTCGAGCTCTTTCTTCTGGTCCACGAGCATCTGCATCTTCTTGAGTTTAGTCTCATGCTGGCGCGCAACGGCGTTGAGATCCACTTCGCGATTCTCCACGCGCTTGGCTTTTTGGATTCCGCCGCGCACGTTGGCACTGACAGTGGGGAGTAGAGGATCCAGAGACTCTCGTCGGCTTTCAGTCGGCGCCGGGGTGGTGTTAGACCGACTGAGTGATGGGGGCTGTCGGGTTTGAGACGGTGCCTGGTCTGTCAACACGCGCTGGAATGCGCGGCGACGGGACTTCTGTGCGTGCTGTCGCTCAACAGGCGTTCCTGGTTCTCGGGGCGTCTTCTTCGTCTGAGCCTGCTTCGTGAAAGGCGAAATTGCAGTTGAGACGCCAAGTTTGCGAGTAATCAGCTTGCACTTGTCCGGCAGACGAGATGCGTAGAACGGGACAATGACTTCCGTGCAGAAATCGCGGACAGCATCACTTTCAACCTTCTTCCCAGATAAATGGTTGGTCTTGGCCGAGTCCGGGATCACTGTCTCCTCGAAGCTAACGGCATGCCAGATGCACAGTCGGTCGAGGTGGAGCTCAAGCATGACATTCAGGTCCTGGGGTTTTTTGCCTTTGGCGGTTTTCGTAGGCTTGTCTGCGCCCTCGCCATTACCCTCACGCTTCTTCTCATCCGCGATGATCGCCTCCAAAGCCATAGTCTCAAGAATCAAGAGAATCTGCAGTTGCGTTTCGCGCAACCGCAAGTCCGCAATATGCTTCTTCGATTCTGCATCCCTGGACATCTCGGACGGAAGCCCTTGATCATTAAGTGCACGATCGCGCCACCACTTGCGAATCAAGTCACTCTCCTCCGGATACAGCCCATTCTTGCCAAGTTTCTTCTTGGTGCTCCTGCGCTTCCGCTTCGGCGGCGCAGCCTCATCATCGGAAACACTCAGCAGCAGATCTTGAACCGTAGTCGGCAGAGTCTCACGATACTTGTGATCCATTCTCTTTGCCGTAAGAATAGCCTCTCTGTAGAACTCGACCAATTGGGCTGGTTTCCCAGACTCATTGTCCGAGGACTGGAATGCCGCGCGACAACGCGCCAGAGGGCCTTTGGCAAAGTAAGCCACGGAAGTCTGTCATCAACTATTAGCATTGCTCCACCGTCTCAGAGCACAAGCGCAGTCACTCACCTTCGACACATACAACGCCTGTAGATACTGCTCTCGCAGCCCATCCAGCAGCTCCTGCGGCGACTGCGTTACCTCCATATCCTGCTCTTCTGCAGCAGTAGCAGCAATATCACCACTCTGCTCCCCAACACCTAGCAACACCGGCCCCTCCGAGCCCTCATCACTGCGCAACATCTCATCCTGTGTCTCCCTGGCATCACTCTCAAACACATGTGCAAAAACAACCCCCACGTCCGCAGCACCCCGTCCCCTCTTTCCAAGCACAACCGGCTGCGGATCCTCAATCCTCGCAACCTCCCACCACTCCCCGACCTCTTTCCTCTCTCTCCGCCGTTCTATACCAGACAAGAACGAGGATGGAAAAGCTGAACCAGCACTCGCCTTCGCTGCAACAACCACCTCACCCTCACCTACACCCCGTAGCCTCATCAACGCATATACCCCCTTCTTGACGCGCTCAACCACCCATACTCCTGCCTCCCCGACAACCCGTACCGCAAGGACAGTATCCCCCACATTGTCTTTCTCAAGGACGGGGATATCCCCGACGAATATATTACACCATCCCGGAAGACCTTGAGTCTGGTTCTTATGTTCGCGCGGCTCAAAATCTATCCACGAATAGGGAATAGCATTGCGGGAGAGGGTAGTGATGGGCGTGAGATGGTGGTAGGGGTCTTGGTCTTCGGCGAGGGATGCGGAATAAGACTATCATTAGTACTAAGTTAGCAACATCGTCGAGTTATACCATATAAGGGGAAGTGGTATACATACGCGAACACTTATCATCTGCGGCGTCTCAGAAACCGCAAAGACGTCATTATGGACATTGACATTCTCGGAATGCGAGACCTTGCGCTTCTTGAACGGATGGTTGTCGAGGGATGCAGTTGATAATGAGGTACTTGTGGTATGGTTCGGGACGAGATTTAGAGGAATTGGAGCGAGGATATTGCTGCTGGGAGGAGATGTTGCTGCGGTGGTGGTGGTAGTTGCCATGGATGGTGGATGTGTGTAGGTGGACGCGTATGTTAACTAGCCTGGGTATGTGTTATGAGTGCAGCATTTCGTGAATCGACAAGTCGGTATGGAGAATATGCTGCGTGACTGTCTTGTATGTGCAATGGACCTTGATCATGGGGTAACCTAGAACAGAAGTAGTAGTTGTAGTGGTAAGTCGAGGCCTTCTCTCCCTGGGGCGGTGGGCGACGCGAGTCACGTCGGCGGAGAACTGGGCGGCACGCGTCGCGGCGGAGGGGTTGCCGAGTATAGCAGATTTTGTTAAGTGCCCACCCACGGGGATTTGCAGACCATCGGATTGCTGAGACATGAAATCCTGGAAATTTGGACTGTATAGACAAGTTTAACGGAATATTATCTATTGGCCAGAGTCACGTATACGGAGTATTCCCGATCTTGCGATCGCGATAAGACTCGTATGCTCCTAACCCTATAACCCTAAGTCGGACATGACCACGGAACACTTCAGATCGCTCCACTTGTCCATCTACAATCTACAAGATAGTTACACGGCACAATACTACTCCATGCATATGCATTCATTAATCTATGTGCTAATGTTTAGATTAGCAAATGGCGAGATTTCACTCTCAAGCCATCTATATCACTCCTGTCGGAGCATCATTCGAACCCCAGTGCGTCAGGGACACGCACCATCACGCCGGATGGCACGCATCCCCCGCAGATAAGACTCGAAGTTCCTATCGGTCCTAAGCCCGGAGGAGGCAGTGTTGAAGACTTTCGCTCCCGAAAACGCCGAAACAACCCTCCCAAGGTATATGAAAAAGTGGTATCATGTTGAATTTATCCTCGCCGAACCCGTCTCTTGCCGAGAGACCATGCAAAAAGTTGAACAAACATCCAAACATAAAAGTTGCTTTTTTGACATGTCTATGCTCGTGCTTTGAGTTGTTGAAAACAAAGCAAAATCATCACATTCGTAAAGGAAACAGACTCAGAAGAGAAGCAGGTCCACAGTCATTGCGAGCGACTCGCTTAGAACTTGAGGGCCTTGGGCTTCTCCCAGGAGAATTCCTGGTTGGTGAAGTGACCGTTCTTGGCGGTCTTGAAGTAGATGGGCTTGGCCAGATCCAGCTCCTTGACAATGACACCGGGACGGAGGTCAAAGTTGTCACGGATGATCTGGACGAGCTCATCGGAGGTCTTAGAGGAGGTGCCGTAGGTCTCGACGAAGATGGACAGGGGCTCAGCAACACCAATGGCGTAGGAGAGCTGGACGAGGGCACGGCGGGCAAGGCCAGCGTTGATGAGGGACTTGGCGATCCAACGAGCAACGTAGGCAGCCGAGCGGTCGACCTTGGAGTAGTCCTTACCGGAGAAGGCACCACCACCGTGAGCACCCCAACCACCGTAGGTGTCGACGATGATCTTACGGCCGGTGAGACCGGCGTCACCCTGGGGACCACCGATGACGAAGCGGCCGGAGGGCTGGAGGTGGTAGACGGTGCGGTCGTCCAGGAGGTTGGCAGGGATGACCGACTTGATGATCTGCTCCTTCAGGACCTTGCGGAGCTCCTCAGTGGAGACCTCGTCGCTGTGCTGGGCGGAGATGACAATGGTGTCCACACGGAGGGGCTTGACAGCACCGTTGTCGTGGGCGTACTCGATGGTGACCTGGGTCTTGGTGTCGGGGCGGAGCCAAGGGATGGTGCCGTTCTTGCGGGCATCAGTCATGGCCTTGTTGAGCTTGTGAGAGAGGACGACGGTGAGGGGGAGGAGCTCAGGAGTCTCATCGGTGGCATAACCGAACATGATACCCTGGTCACCAGCACCGAGCTTCTCAAGGGCCTCCTCGTAGTGCAGACCCTGGGCGATATCGGGCGACTGCTGCTCAATGGCAACCAAGACGTTGCAGGTCTTGTAGTCGAAACCCTTCTCGGAGGCATCGTAGCCGATGTCCTGGATGGCACCACGGATGACCTTCTGGTAGTCAAGCTTGGCCTGGGTGGTGATTTCACCGAAGACCATCACCATACCTGTAACGTGGGTCAGCGCACAGTCCCGATAAGATTAGATGGGTGGGGCGGGAAGGAGAAAAAAAAAACTTACCAGTCTTGGTAGCGGTCTCACAAGCGACCTAACGGCAACATGTTAATTCAAGACATTCATTCACATGCAAGGTGGACAAGCCGGATTGGAAAAGCGCCGGCCAATCAAGGGGCCAAGGGGTGCGCAAGAAAAATCCGACTCAGATAGAACCGATGAGGGGTCCGTACCTTAGAGAGAGGGTCCTCAGCAAGGCAGGCATCGAGGATGGCATCGGAGACCTGGTCACTGTGGAAAAACTGTCAGCAAGACATGAACCGAGTGCGCCAGGTAGAATTGAGGTTCGACATACGCAATCTTATCGGGGTGACCCTCTCCGACGGACTCGGAGGTGAAAAGGAAAGTAGATCCGTTGGCGACGCTACCCATTGTGAAGAGTGGGGGTGGGGATATGTAGAGATAGGGGGGGAAGTGAAGAAAGGAGAGAGGAGACGAGGAGGGAAGAAGAGGAGAAAGATTAGGGAGGGGGGAATAGAGTAGATATTAAAGAAGCGAGAAATGTAAGAAAATGGGAGGGAAGAGGGAAAAGGGAGGAGGGGAAAGAAGAGAAAAGAAGGAGGCAGAGAGGGGAATCTCGTATTAATGTGTCTCCGATGGCGCCATCTCTTCCGGCGGTCGGACTAGGCAGAAAAAAGTAAAATAGAATTGAAAAAAAAAAAAAGGACCCAAAAGAAAAACATGCATCGGCGGCGGATTTTGATTTGCCAACCGAAGAGATCCCCCTCTATTGTGCTATCAGCCAATCGGCGTCTCTCTCAACGGACGACGGACCTTCGGAGTTTCTTCAATTTCATTTTAACCTGCAAACTCGGGGTTGAATTACTCTGCGAACTACCGAAAGCTCCCTCCCTCTCCCACCTTTACTCCATCTCCAACCTGATTCAGATCACCCTTCGGATTCCGGCTCGCTTACGGGAGAATTGCGTTAATTTCCTTGGATTTTTCCTGCAACTCCGAACCTAGTAGCAACTAGCTCACCTCCTTGTCAGCATTCGACCCCGCGCCATACCTACCTTTTCCACCACCATTAGCTTCAACATCAGCATCAGCACCCACCAACTCAAAGTGCCGCCGTCAGCATGTCCAAATACGGCGTCCTAGTAATGGGCCCCGCTGGCGCGGGCAAAACCACCTTCTGCAGCTCTATTATCCAGCACCTCCAAAACACGCGTCGCAGCTGTTTCTACGTGAACCTAGATCCCGCGGCAGAGACCTTCAACTACGAGCCGGACCTCGACATCCGCGAGCTGATCACCCTCGAAGATGTGATGGAGGAGCTGGGACTAGGTCCCAATGGCGGGCTCATCTACTGCTTCGAGTTCCTCCTCCAGAACCTCGAGTTCCTCTCCGAGGCCCTCGACCCTCTCAGCGAAGAATACCTCATCATCTTCGACATGCCGGGTCAAATCGAGCTCTACACACACATCCCGCTGCTCCCTTCCCTGGTGCAGTTCCTATCCCGCCAGGGTCCGCTGAACATCAGTCTCTGCGCGGCATATCTCCTTGAGAGCACGTTCGTCGTGGACAAGGCCAAGTTCTTCGCCGGCACGCTGAGCGCCATGTCGGCCATGTTGATGCTAGAAATGCCGCACGTGAATATCCTGAGCAAGATGGACCAAGTCAAGGACATGGTTTCGCGCAAGGAATTGAAGCAGTTCACTAACGTGGATGTGAACAACTTGCTGGGCTCGGCGGGTGACGATGAGGAGTCATCAGTGGTTACTGGAGACCCATCGTCCAAGGACGCAATGTTGAGCGGAGGATCGTTCCAGCAATTGAACCGCGCGGTCGGGCAGCTCATCGACGACTTCAGCATGGTCTCGTTCCTCAAGCTGGACGTGCAGGATGAAGATAGTGTTGCCGCGGTGCTGAGTCACATCGACGATGCCATTCAGTACCATGAGGCTCAGGAACCTCGCGAGCCTTCCGATGCCCAGGAGGTCGATTACGAAGACTGAGCTGAGTGAGATGCCGTAAGCCGTTGTTGGCGCTGCCGCTGCCGCTGCCGCCGGCGCGCCGTGATTACGCCATCGCGTCAGTATTTGGGGGCGCATGCGCTAGCGCATCCTACTTTTCACTCCGTCGAGTTATATAGAGCTCCTGTTGTTGTTTCCTAGGTAGCTTGTGCGTGCCTGGATGCTGTGGAACCGCTACCTTGCTGAGTCACCGACAGCAACAACAATAAGTCAACTAACTAACCCACCAACGCCCGTCGCCGTTCTGCCATAAGCATCTACTACCCATTTGATATGGGGGCCAAAATGAAGGCAGATAGCATGCAGTGCTCTCGTATTCGGATACGATTTAAACACCGACGGGAATTATCTAATTGTCCGACCGACCAACCGATCCACCTGAAACAGGAATGTGAGCTGAAGGAACGAGATGGATTATGTTATGGCATTGTGCCAACCACATACTACTACCACTACTATCTACTCAACCCCTTACGACTATTATCTACAATTAAGATGTCTCTAAAACCGAACCAATGATAATGTCATATCATATGCAACCTGCACCTGCACCTTTTTTTCGTGTCACTTGGTCGATAGCTCTGTAAACAGCTTTTCAACTGCAGAAGTAGTAATTGAGAAATAGAAAAGTAAGTAGCATATGAGTTGTTTCTTCTGTCTTGTCTTATCTTATCACCAACAAGAAAAAAACAAATTCCTCAATCCTTGCAGTATACATGGCTTAGCATACCATAGCACCACATATCTATACCTCTACACCGCTCAATTCAAGGCAACTGAACTAAACTCAATTCACATTCACATTCACATTCAAAACGAACCAAAACCAGCCATGTAATCCATTCCATGCAGCATGCAATCGTTTATTCGTAGTAAGTAGTAGCCCAGCTCAGTCCAGGCCGGTCTCGGACCGCGGTGTCATTCCATTCCTTATTCCACCCTTCTTCATCTTCCAATGCAATCAATCCCATCTAGCATGACCATCAACCCATCCAGATTATTACCAAGTTCCCAACTCCAACTCAACCCAACTCATCCTTTTAAGACTCTCCCCTCACAACCCAATTTTCAATTCTAATACCTCCCCGCCCCACCCATAGTCCCCGTCACATACCCCCCAACACCCCCAGACCCCGTAACAGCCCTCCCGCCCTCCACCCCATCCCTAAACCCATCCACGAACCCCCCCGCAACACCAACAAGCCACCCCAAATCCCTCCCGGTCTTCTCGATCCCAACGGAATAAACATACCACAAAGCACCCAGCACGAGCGCCCACCACAGCAACCTCAGGGCAAGATTCACCCAGAACATGACGAGACGGCGAGCATAGTCGAGGATCTTGAGGGAGATGATGAGGACGAGGGCGAGGATGAAGATGGAGACGAGGTCGGGCATTGGCATGGAGGAGGTGAGGAGCGAGGCGAGCGGGTGGATGAGGTAGGGGTCGAGGTAGGCGGAGCGGCAGTGGGAGATGTAGGGGGTTAGGTAGGTAGTGTGGAGGGAGGCGAGGTGGGAGGCGATGGGGGTGGAGGTGAGGGTTTTGAAGGTTGGATGTTGTTGGATTAGGGAGAGGAGGGAGTCTGTTAGGTTGGTGAGTGGGTGGTTAGTATTGTTGATGTTGATGTTGGTTGGGGAGATTGGGAGGGTGGTGGTGGTGTTGATGGGGTAGGAGGTATTTGTGGTTGCGTTTGAGGTATTACCTGGGAGAAAGTCCATTGTGATTTGATTAATGGAGCTCACTGTCACCAGATATAGTAATCTGGTAGGAAGAGAGTATGGAGGTAGGCGAGGTGGCCACTCTCTTTTTATGCCTTGACGATTGGACGATGAAGGTTTGTCGTGGGGTGATCGCGGGTGGATAAGGTTGCAGAAAATAACCTTGTGCTATATACGGAGAGCCTTATAAGGTGGAAAGTATCATGGTCGAAATGAAGAAGCCAAACAAAGGAGATTCAAAGAGAAGATGATGGATGAAGGAGAAATCGGGACTTTCCTTCGGCCAGATGCGCCAGAGACAATGCGGCCATGCGCGGACCAATTAGCGGCCGAGCGCAAAGCCAAACCAGGCAAACACCGCAGCCAGTCCGGGGGTGGATCCCGTGATATCACGGAACTCGCAGGCATGCGATAAGTCAACTTTCTCGTTCTTCCTTGCACATTCTTATTTTACTCTGCTAGAATTTCGTTCATCTCAACATACTCAGCTGACAGCTGTACATCTATGCAATTATACATAATCACGTCGTGATCGTGAGATATATACATGCCCATCTGGCCATGGACCCCATTTGACCATATACAAGCATCGGAGTATGCGCTGCACCCGACCAAAACAAATAGGTGCTTCCAAAACATGTCACACGCTAGAGTGTCGACGCCAAGACACCTCCCATGTGATTATTTTATACAGCGAAGAAACGAGAAAAATCTAATATGCCGTCGTTCAAGCCATCAGAGTCCTGAACGTCTCGCGTTGGGCCATGATTTCGGCCTGAAGTTTGCGGGTCTGGCGGAGTGCATCGTCCCTGTTGCAGTTTGTTAGCAATTATTCCAAGGTAACCCGTCTCTCATGACTTACCGATCAGACTGAAGTTCCGCGACTTCTATTTGCGCCCGGTTCATCCGGCTCACAACTTCTTCCATCTCCGAATCAGCGTCGCGAAGGAGCTTCTCCAGCTCCTTCACCCGCCGTTCCAGCGTTTCCGATTGGATAGCCTGATCCAAAGCAATACCCCTACCACTGGTTGTCAAGTCCAGACGAGGAGACCGTGAGCCAAAGGGCGTGGTCGGAGGCATGGGCGACAAGGCCGCAGGGCTGCGAGCGCCGTTCTTCATGCGCTTCAGTTGCGCGTTGTGGTTCTCCTCAAGAGCGCGCACTTCTTCTTCGTGGCGCGTCATTTCGTCCTCGGAGTACTGCTGCGCCATCAGCAGGATGTCCTCCATCTCCTTGAGACGGGCCTGCATCTCATTGATACGAGCGGCTGACAGCTGCTGCTCCTTTTCACCCTTGCCAATGGCCTCGGCCAGACGGCTTCGCAGGGCATTGTTGCTGGCAAGCTGCTGTTGCACATGCTGCGCAAGCACGTCGGTCCGGTTGACCGACTCCACGAGTGAGTTTTGCTCGGCGAGGGGCGACTGGGCCGCGCTGGCTTCGGCGATTTCCCGATCCGCCTGAAGTTGCCTGTAAGCGGACTCCAGGGACGAAGAGGTTGCGAGGACCTCGGCGAATCCATCCCGATCACATTCGAGGTCTTCAGGAACGGTGATGTCGTGCTCCTGGAGTATTACGCGCAGGGAGGTGGTCTCCTGTTCAGCCCGGTCCAGGTCCATCTTCAGACCTGCCAATCCTTTTTCGCACTGCCACTTCTGTTCCAGAGCTTCCTCGGCACGCTGCCGAAGGTCGTTTACTTCTTCGCGCAAGTTACGCACTTCGCGCTCATAGCCCAGCTTGCGCGGAGAACCCACTTGCTGTGCGCGCGCAATCTCCATCTCCATGAGCTGAAGCCGCTTCTCGTACTCACGGGCATCGTGAGCCTGGCGATCAAGCAGACGCCGAAGAGACTGGTGAAGCGCATCGCGCTGCGCCTCAACATCCTCGATTCTATCCGCCAGGTTCTCGCGGGGAGACTCATTGCGCTCCTTGGCGGATACGGAATTCGAGCGCGACAAAGAACTGGAGCGGGAGAGACCGGGCGACGGCTTAGTGCGCACGCGCGCCAACGAATTCGACCGCGACAGTCCCAATCCGACGTTTCTGGCAGTGGGCATGCCATCTTCTTCGGCAATTGAAGCGAATCGACTGCCTTGCAGCTGGGCGAGAGAGGCGTTTTCGATCTTCAGCGCTTCGATTTCCTCCATCAACCGCTGGACTTCCGACGGATCGGATGGAGGCGCGGCAGGTTGACTGCCTTGTTGCAATTGAGGGATAACAGTGTCACGCATATGATCCCGTTCGTTTCGCAACTGTTCGAGTTCTACTCTCATGGCGGTCAACAAGTCTTCAAAATTATCCTTGATTTGGCGCTCTTCGGCCAGCTTCCTACGGGTATCATCTAATGCGGCTTCGAGCTCCCTTGTCCGGGAGGACAGGTCCGAGAGGTCTACTCTCTCCCGTCGCAGCTAATGTGTGTTAGTCTTGGAGTTCAAGTTCTCTGTGCTGATGGAAGTCATACCTGCTGGACTTGGGACTCTAGTATCTGGACGTGTGCTTCCGAGGCTGCCCGGCGACTGCGCTCTTCTTGCAACTTTTGACCCAGATCCACCTTGATCTGAGCCCGCTCCTGCTCTGCAGTGCGTTTGTACTTTTCAATATCTTCGACCCGACCACCCGACTCAAACGCGTAGCGGATGGAGCTGCTGCCCGAATCGGAGAAGTAATCGCTGGTCCGGCGATTGGGGGTATCTAAGGGCATATCTGACTGCAATCTCTCCACCAAATCCTCCAACTCCATCTCCCGCCGGATGGACCCGGCCAGCTCTGAGCTGATCTCCCGCAGTTCATTCTCAAGCTCGGTCACCAGCGTCGTCGCCCTGGAGTCCAGGATACTTCCACTGCTCAGAGACGGATTTCGCTGCGGGAGAGGCACTTGCGGCTTGGAGGGGTCGAAGGGCACCGTGGTGGACGGTGTTATGGAGAAGGACGCGCTGTGGAGGGAGGCAGGCATCGGGGAAGGCACCGGGGAACGACCGGTCTCGGAGATCTCGGTACTAGAGGATTCCGCGCCGGGGGAAGATGTTGTAGCGCGCCACCCAAAAAAAGAACTGATCTTGTTTGCCGGTGTTTTCGGCTGTTTGGAGTCACCGGACGAGGACCGGCTGGGGGAATCGATATGTAGCGGTGGAGGACGGCGTGAGGGAAGGTGCAAGGCCATGGTCGTGGGGCGCTTGGGGAGGAATGCCGGCGATTTGAGGATGGGAACGAATGGCTCGCTCACAAGACGGCTGTGTAGGGACGTCCCATTCGAGAATTGAGAGGAGTATCTGGGGTTGTGGGTATTGACGTTGCTGCTCTCCTCGTCGTCGTCCACGTAGGCTGCGGAGGTATCTATACGTAGATGGGACGCGGACGGACCACCACGGGGAGATCTGGAGAAGAGTAGAAAAAGTCCGAGATTAGTCTTGCCACGTCTGAAGGGAAAAGTGGACATGGAAAGGCCTTCTCCCGGCTGCAGAAGTAGCGTGAGATTGCAAGGACCGCAAGCACCAGAGTGAGGGGAGCAGGGGGAGAAGGTGAGGGGAAGAGAGCACGGGCAGGGGGCAACGGCTGTCATACCTGTCCAGGTTCCTTGGAACCGAATGAAGGGAGTCGTCGTCCTCCTGGCCGTCAACTTCATACACGGAACCGGAGAAGGAATAGGTTGAAGCAGGGGAGTAGGCCAAGTTATGATGGCCGGCAGCGAGAGGAGAGGAAGAGACAGGGAGTGACAGCGGATCTGCAGGCGAGTCGCCCGGGGGGGAGGAGGGTAGCAGGGGCGAGGAAGGAGGCCTGGATTGGCGCGACAGGATCACAGCATCCTGGGGAAGTGGTTTCCTGCGCACAAGGGTGGCCGAAGGAGGGGGAGAGGCCAGAGAGGTAGTAGAGGGCGGCAAATGGGAAGAAGGAGAGGTGACAGGACCAGCAGCGGCGGCGGCGGCAGCGGAGGTAGAGGAGGAAGCAGAGGAGGGAGGACGAGGATGAGGAGGAGGAGGAGGAGGAGGAGGAGGAGGAGGAGGACTTGGCCAAGCGCCGGGGTCATCAAACACAGGAGATGGAGACAACTGATGATAAGTCTGGGACAAGGAATGGAGATGATTATGGTTTGGGCTTGAGGATAAAGCGCCCGAGGCAGGCGGAGAAGTCCAGCCTGGGGCCATGAGGGAGGAGACACTCTAATTGGCAAGGTTGAGCGCCAAACCCGGGACAATTGACAAGAACAGGTAAAGACGGGAAGGGAAGGGGGGGTGAAAGACACAGAGAGGAGGGAAGATCAGAAACAATCGTTGGTCAATGGGTTCAGGATCGACGCACCCTCATGGTGACGAGGGCAGGAGGCGTTTAGTTTTGGCACGGGGCAATAATCATTCAATGGGAGGAGAGGCAGGTTTGACAAGACGTTCAGGGGAATAATAGTGGATGGAACGGACCCATTGGACGGGAGAGGGAAGTAAGTAGATAGTCCAGTAAGTAAAGTTCAGACAATCCCAATCTAGCTGGATCAATCAGTCCATCACAAAAGTAGACATGCACACATGGATTACACGCAGTCTGTTTCTGAATGGGTTAGTTTCAGTTGGTTTAGAGGGAAGATCGGGGCGACAAGGGCGAAGGGGAGAAAAAAAAAAAAGAAAAAGAAAAAAGGAGGGCGGATTGAAAGGGGCGGAGAGAGGAAGAGAGAGAGAGAGAGAGAGAGAAAGAGAGAAAGAAAGGCTTCGGAGAGAGGATCGTGAGATTGACCATAGCTTCAAGCCAATTGCTGATTGGTGCCGACAAAACTAATTCCCGAATTGGTGGGGATTTGCTCTACTACTAACTACTCAGTTACAGGAATAATCCATAATAATAATCCGCTGAATCTTTAGTTAGTTGGTAGATACAAAGTAGTTGGTTGTGGACACCCAAGTTCTCACTATTCAGAGGGCATTGCTGGTTAATTCTCACCAGGTTGAAGTCAACATTCCTACAGCTCCTCCCATATTTCTTTACACATTTTTCTCTCCATCTTCAAGTTATCTCTAGTATTCTCTGCCATCCCGAGACCAGCTCGCCTCCAGTCCAGACGGCCGATCGGAGTCCAGCCCCACTCGATATCACGGTAGTCGGAAGACCGCAGGTCTAGTCAGGGGTAGATTAGAGAGAGCAGTTTACTGACTTTCCCATAGTCCACCCAACCCATGGTTGCAGCATCAACCACAACCACAAACAAGGTCAAAGAACAACCAAGATCCATTTTCAGAAACCACCCTCAAAGATATGCTGACATACTGTTTGTTTCACCAACAAGGAGGCTTGGATACTGAAAATAGCACAAACAAAATTGCAAAACAAATAATGTGGCCGGCCCTATAGTCAGCATATCGGCTGGCCCCCAACCTCTCCCTCTCCCGACAGAGAGAGAGCAAAAAATCTCTTACTCTACTACTTACTTCTACTACGTACTAACTAGCCTAGTGGCCGGTGCGTCCTGCACCCGAGCAGTTATGACCCGAACTAGTTCCACTACCAAACCATCTATTTACTGCACAGTACAGAAGTAGTCGTCACCCTCTGCTGCACAGTAGATAGATTCAGGAGACTGTCAATGCAGAGTGCAGCTTGCAGACGCAGACATCGTCACACACACACTACACTCTCTTTCAGTGCACAGATCTCCACTTTTTGCGGATCTCCTGCATGTGATGACTGGCGATGTGATTGGGTTTGAGACCTGAACCGTGGTAGAAAAGTGAGACTCCCGTCTGCAACTGTATAGCCTTAGGGGGGAGGGGGCCATGGCAATGGGGCTGTTAGTAACTTAGTAGTCATAAGTTGTAAGCGCCCGGCTTGAACTCGCTTGATTGATAGTATGTACTACGTATCCGTTCCGAACCAACATTTTATTTTCCCTCCCTCCTACATCAGTTAGAAACTGACACACGACCAGTCCAGAATCCCAATTACTAAATATAGTTACTATCTTTTTTGCGACGTGAAACAACTGCCAACCGATAGATAACTATTGAGGCTTATTCTAGACCTTTGATCGTCGACGGTTGGCTGCAATAGTTTAGGGTTACTATATAGTAGTATTATTATTATCTGGCTACTATTTTTTACGCTCATTTTATTCTATTATGACATTAAACGTGATAGGAGATGGTCTGACCACGGTTAACAACCCTTGGGGGGGGAAGGGTTATTATTATGGATCATCCCGACTAGTAGTGCTAACGGGCAGTGGAGGTCCATAATAACTATTACTTAGCTAACTAGATTGATGAGTTCTGCCGTGTCTACATAAATTAAATGGCTCATTATCCTACAGTACGCGGATGCTAAGGTAATTTGTAGGTTCAGTACGTGTTTCTTTGTCTATCCCATCTCTTCTGGGTATTCTCCTCCGAGAGAAATATCTACTAAGTACTAGACTACTACCTAAATATATTTGCTAATGAGACACTCATATATAAAATATTTCTATACCATACTATCCATTCTTCCTACCAAACTCTGTTTCTATTATTCTCCCCAATTTTAAGAACACATAAAAAACAAAAAAGTATAATAATTCCTCCCCCAACTACACCAATCAGCAAGGGGGCGAAACCCCCTCCCAAACTCTAAGCCAACACAACACAACAACTTCCATTGTGATTGACACCACTCCGTCATTATCATCAAGTTCAGAAATAAAACAATGGAATATAACTACATATTTCACGAAAGAAATTCTCCTGCTTCTATATTTATCCCTCCCTCATATCTCATAACTCAAAGTGGCGCCATCCCATGCAAATCATGTCTTAGCTTGCACTTCATGGTCCGGCAGGGCACTATCTAACTACTACCTAAAAAAGACAGGGAAGGATAGATAGTAGTAATAGCATAAATACAGGGCTGCAGGGGTAGCTTCCCCCGGCCCCCCTCCGGCCCCCCTCCGGCCCCCTTACTACTCCCGTATGTAGACCCTTATTTCTGCGCTCCTTTCTTTTTTCTTTTCCTTGGTTCAGGTGGTGTCAAACGTGCAGTAGTGCTGCAGTATTCCGGTTCTATTTTGGGAAACATGATGCAGTATATACCATAGTAATGTTTGTTAAGTGGTCGGTGATTCAGGATGTTAGTAGCAGTAGCAGTAGGTTCGGGTGGTTGGGTGGTTAGTAGTTTGATTATGGGGCTCGGTTCGGTTTCATATCCGTGGTCAGCTACTTCTACTACTGGAAGTAGCTTTGTTTATTTGATACACTGGGTATGTAGGGTATATCCACCGGAAGTTCCAAGAGACTCCCTAGATAGTGAGTATTGTTGAGATTTTATTCAAATGGGTGTTTCTGCGTATATCTAATAATTTGAATTCAAGTATCGACGCCTTAACTCATCGCTAAACATAGCTGACTCGAATCAATATATCAACCGACGCCTTGTACACGTAAAAGCTCATTGCTCCTGGCTCGTAATGCTTTTCAGCTTTTCGCAGAATCGAAAACATTGCATGCCACTTAGTATTCAACCAGACCGATGCTCGCATAACACACATAAACATATCCTCGTTCAGATTGCATCCCAAGTCTAATATGGGATAAAATCGAATCTCATCCGATCTGAAGATTTTGTCAGTATTATCATCACCGCAAATAAAGGAATAGTACATACCGAGATATTGACTCCATCCCTCGTTTTCGTCAATTTGGTTCGCCCAATACTGTTCCAGGAATTTCAATGACTGCAACACATTTGGTACTCGAATCGTATCATGCAGCGAAGACAGTAGCCGCCGCACTTGCTCGCGATCTTCTCCGCGCGCCTCACACCCAGCGATGAATAGCGGGGTAGTCAGCATTACCCACGGACTCAGCCCCGGAGACGGCCCGATCTGAGCCGTGCATTCGAGGATCCTCTTGACGGACTCCTGCACCACAGGTGCAGACGCTGGTGTTTTTCGTAGTCGACGATGGATCTGAATGAGAGCACTGAGTTGAAAGGCCTCGTTACAGAGCATGAGCTGCTGGATACATTCCGCAGAAAGACCCTCCACGACGCCCGGGTAGAACGCGGGCTGCGAAGCCACATCTTGTTCCATGAGATGACGGAGCGACGACTCCAGCGCTGCAGCTTCATTGTGTACGCTGACCTCGTTCCCTTGGACAGAATTCTCATCGCCTTCCTGCCCCCGACTCTGATGCTCCCGCCAAGCGACGGCCCCAATCCTTCGGAAGATCGTGGCCAAATTTACCGTAAACCCCCAGTAATCATCCAAGTAATCCGGCGACGCCGACTGATTTGGCCCAATGGAGACCAGCTGATCTGTAGCTTCACCGATGGGCGGCCCATTCCCCGTCAACGCAGTCAGCGACACGATTGACCGATACCATCTATCCAGATACCGCCTGAACCCTTCTGGCGATTTGGGCGACAGCGCCCCGCTCTGATCTGATGCCTCCATCAGAGCCCGGGCACCTTCGATATGTGCGCGCCAGGAATTGGGGTGGATTGCACCGGAGTGTATCTCTGCGAGACAGAGCGTTCGGGCAGTTGCGAGCAGCGCATCCGATCCCCTGCTCGCGGGATTTTGTAGTTCCGTTCTGAAATGTTCTAAGCTGAGGGCCATGAAGCGTGCGATTTCGGGTGCGGACTTGACGTTCTCGGATTGATTGTGGAGGGCTTGAAGGTGGATAGCGGAGAGGGCCATGGTTGCGTAGAGGAGGGACGGGGTCTGAAGCGCCATGGGGACGAGCATCTTGCAGATATCGCGCTGCATGCCGGAGTGGCAAGCCGTGATCTGAGAGGCATCGTTGAGGAAGTGATGGAGGAGGGATTTCTGGTCGGTAGAGAGGGAGGCGAAGGGATCAATATGGCGGACTAAGGTGGTGTTCGTGGGTTGGGTAGACGGAGATGTTGCGATTGTGCCCGGAGAAAGAGCAGCCGCAGCTTTTGTGGTGTAGATGAATTCGCCAGGGGAGTACTCTGATTGCAAGTATTCAAGTTAGACCAGTATATCCAGGTATACCACAGGCTAGATGGTATTCACCCACCAAGTTTTTGCATGCCTCCCGGTCCCACGCAAGCCCCAAACCGTGAGCGCGAAAAGGCTCGGCCCCCCCACTGCAGCTGCATCGCATATCGACATTGCGTGCCAGCCGTCATGCAGCGACCACAACTGGGACGCTGCTCATCGCATTTCTGCCGTCGGGCTTTACATCGTTTGCACCCATTGAAAGATCGAGACATGGAGTTAGCGGAGATGAGGGGATCGCAGAAAATGTTGCTGATTGCTTTTTTCCCTCTGCGGAGTCTTCGGCTCTTCCCCGGCTCAGGGGGGTTTCGTCCGCTGGTTACTTCTCCGCAGCTGATAAGAGTGACAAGGTGGGGGAATAGGTGTCACCAACTGTCGATGAACGTTGTCAATTTCTGTGCGGAGAAGATGGAGAGGAGATGAATCCCAAGCCGCAGGTGTGCCACGAGCCCGTGGAAAGTCTTACCGGTCAGTGCGAGAAACTAAGAGTTGAGACCGATGAGATAAGGCGAACCCAAGCGGGACCCGCAGCTTTCTGTATAGCGGCCGATCATCGATCCACCGCTGCTGCCAATCGTCGTGCTCAGAACAGCCGTTGGGCGCTCTGCGTAGATCGGATTCTGATGTCTCAGATCAGAGTGTGCATGACACAGTACCCTAATTCTTCCCCAGACATGTTCTCCAGATTTATCTATCTACTTTGACATTGATCGTCGCCACGAGGGGGCGGGCTATGCATGGCTTGCGTGCTTCCGAGCGGAAACCTTATCGGGACCGAGTTTGTTGGCTATGTGCACACGACAATGGCATTTCGAAATGATTTACGCTGAGAATCCATACAATACAGCCGGAGCAGGTCTGTGCTCGGCCAGACAGAAGCAGATCAAACAAGCACGGGGTAATATGTCACATCACGTCACACTGCTCTATTGAGCTCTAGTCATCGAACGTGTAGCGCAGCCACTCGCCAACCGCCCGCAAACTCTCCCACCGCACCGATTCGTCCTTGTCCGTCATCAGCTCCATGACACGAGTCTTCAGACCCAGCTTTTCCAGCTGTGCCCGCCGTTCGGGCAGTTCCTTCACCAAGTGACCCACGTCGTTACAGGCAATCGCCAGCACCTGTTTGTCGTTATCCCAGCTCTTAGACATGATTTCGGACAGCTTCTTCGGCAGTGCACCGCTGTTTTCGTCGAGGATGCGACGGGCATTGTCCTTCCAGAAGGTAGGGTTGCGGTGGGGCGGGGACCACCGGAGGTGGCCGGACTGCAGCTCAGCTGCGTACTGATCGAACGTCGTCTGTGTCTTGGTGTACTCGTCCAGCATTTCGGACAGGAATGTAAGGTCCTCCAGGAGATCGGGGTCGGTCAGATGGCGGCCGGCGAGGTTCGTGAGGAGGGCAGGGAGGCGGACAAAGACTGCGACCGGGAGTAGGGTGGTGCGGTTACTAGACAGGAGGTTGTTGAGGGTCGCAAGGAGGAGTCGCGTGGTCTTCTCCTTCGGAGAAAGGCGTAGGAGGTGTGTGTACAGCTGGACAAACTCGTAGTCCCTATAACCATTGTCAGCCTCATTCCATCTTAAACCCATCAGGAGTCAGGTCACATACGCTTGCAGATCATCACCAATCAACTCTCCTTCAAAACTGAGCTGCCAGAGGACAAGCAAGACCCGGTACAACAGCTGGAGACCAACACCACCGGCAAGACCAGGCTCGATCGCGCGCGAGCTGCCAGCCAAGGTGCTGGAGCTGCTATCTTTTGCACCCGTAGCTGCACGCAGGATCTCAATCAACGGCTCAACGGTCTGCTGCCTCTGCTTCCAGAAGATCTCGCGAGACCTCGAGGTTCGTAGCAATGCGGACAGCTCCTGAACCCCGATATCCTGCAGCCCGCTGTCTTGGTTCTGGGTCAGGGTAGAGAGATAGGTGTACAACTGCGGAAGCGCTTCGTCATCCCGCGCAGCTGGCTTAGATGACGTGCCCAGGCTGACGGAGACAAGGTTGGTCAAGAAGGTGGAGGTGAGCAGAGGGATTGGGTCTTCGGGGTTGGTGGAGTGACGCAAGAGGGGAAGGAATGGCTTGTAAGGGTCGGGATGCGCGACCAGGGCGGTCGAGAGGGAGGGGACATCTAGAGAACCGGGATGATCAGTATCCATTTCCATCATCACTATCGCAATCCGATCAGGGAGAAGGTGTTTGTACCGTTGATCAAATCCGCGGCCAGCACGAGAATGTATTGCACAATATCGGTTCTCCTGGAAGCGGAGTCCAGCACGCTCTTCCCTTCAGAGCCACCAGAGAGTAGACCAACATAACCAGCCAGATCCCCCTCGACAGTCTGACGCCGCTGCTCCTTGCGAACCTTGTCCACCGCCTTGATCTTCTTCAGGTGGTCATCGGTGATGTTTCCCGCTCGGACAGCTCCCTCCCATGGGATGGGACGAGCTCGGATGTTGTTCTGTAGCGAACTGAGGTAGGTGGGTGGCTCCAGGGGTAGCGACGACATGGTGATTCCGGAGGAGGGGGGGAAAATCAGGAGCCAACCGGAACGGAGAAAACTGGATTGAGGGGAGAGAGGGACGGGGGGGTTGCGGAGGTGGTGAAAGAGGAGGAGGTTGGGGAACGGCCAGGGAGGAGCCGATGATGATACGAATCACGTTCGCCGTCACTCTGTCTAGTGTCTCTCCATCCCCGGCCGCCAAGCCGGTTGCGCTTCATCGCTTCTTCGGAGTCCACGCAAGCTGCAACGTCTCGACTGAACGGCCCCTCCTCTCCGACTCCGGTCGGACAACTCACTCTTTTTGGATCTCATTGCTCTTCCACTTCCTCGGAATTCGTGCTTCTCTAAGCTAGTCTCTCGTTTGTGGTTTCTTCCCGCGTCCGATTTAGTACTACGGCCTCGTCTTCCTCTAAGTGACGACAAGCCGGCATCAGATCGCATCATCGTCAAAACTCCTCGCTTTCCATGATTGAATTGGCGCATTCTTGCTGCTAGGTATCCTAGTTTGCAGGAGCAACAAAGTTTACAGCCGTCACGATGTCGCAGGGTTCTCAGGGCTCCAAGCCGAAATGGAAAGTGGGCTCTTTCCTGCAGCAAGCCGTTGCCGGCGTTGAGTCCAGGCTGGATCTGATCCTGGCCGAAGAGGAGGACCAGAAACAATCACAGGCTAAGCTTGCGACTACAAAGCCCAAATCAAATGAGCAGACAAGCAGTACGGAGACACTTGATCGATTCGGGCGGTTGTACTATACCAGATTGCTAACAGTTACCAGGTATATCACGTAGTTCGTCGAATGCGCGAAAGAATGATCGCCTTCAAGAACGCCTGGCTCGTGCCGTGGTCAAGTCGAATACCGCTGGCAATACTTCCTCGCAGCCTTCCAGCCATGCCCCCTCCCCCGTCAGCAGTCCGGTTCCCAGCAACGGTGGACGCTCGAGCATGGATATTGATGCTAGTCTTGATTCCCAGAATGGAAGTGCAGGGATACATTCTCGAAATTCCAGTCGGCAGGAAGTAATTGCAGCCACAGAGGCTCCTCGGATGAGCCAGGACTCAGCCGTCTCGTCACGCCGCTCTCAGGACCTCGTTTCGCAGACCGGAACTTCTAATGTTGAGGAGGCTGCTTCAGCAGACACCTCTAATGCGACACATGATACCACACAAAAAGACAGCGCATCATCTCCCGAGCCTGATCAACTTCCCGCGCCTACGATTTCACTGCCAATGACGGATACTCCTACGGACAGCCCCAGAACTTCCAGCGACCAAGACAAGTCTATTGCGCAGTTACAGGCGGACCACAAAGCCGCAGAGTCTCAGTGGCAGGAGGAAATGTACGGATATATCGAACGGATCGATGCGCTGCAGTCCAAGTTAAAGTACTTGGCCAAGGAAGCCGCGGAATCTGCCAAGAAAGCAGCGGCTACAGCAGAGCCAGGGAGCGTCGAAAAGCAGCTTCGAGAAAAGGACGAAAAGATCGCACTGTTGCTCGAGGAAGGACAAAAGCTATCCAAGTCGGAAATGGACCACAGAACCGCGATCAAGAAACTGAGGCAGCAATTGGCAGAGAATGCAAAGGCGCAGACTGAGTCAAAGAAGAAGACTGAGAAACTGGAACGGGATCTTGCCAGTGCAGAAATCAGAGCCAAACGGGCCGAGGCGGCCGAGAGGAGAGCAAATGACTCGCTCTCTGCGCAAACGAAGGTGTCTCGGGACCTGGAAGCCGCGACGGCAGAGCGTAACGCACTCAGCCAGACTGTACAGGAATTGAAAGGACAGCTCGCTCGAGCTGTGTCCAGAGCGGAAGCTGCAGAGGCCAAGGCTCAATCCGAGGCACTCGAGCAGGAGAAGCGTCGCGCTACCCAGTTGGAGGAGGATCTAGCAAGCGCCAAGATCGAACGTGAAATCAGTGAAGAGAAGCTGAATAGAGAGATCAGCGATTTGAAGGGAACCATTGAGCAGGAGAAGGAGCGAGCGCGTATGTTAGAGGTTGAGCTGAAGGGGGAGCAGTCGGCGCTGGAAAGTAAGATGGAGTCCTTGCGGTCTCGGGCAGAAGAGGCATCATCCGGTGTTACTGGCGATGCGCAAGCCAAACTCCTGCGTCAGATCGAAACCCTCCAAACACAGTATGCTGTCGCCAGTGAGAATTGGCAGACCTTGGAAGGCTCACTACTGGCACGGTTGGCGAACGTCGAGAAGGAGCGGGATGAGGTTGCGCGACGGGAGGGCGAGATGCGGCGGAAGATCCGCGAAGTGGTAAGACGCCCTAAGTCCCTGATGCAATGGCACCAGATAGACTAACTGTGCACAGAACCTCAAAGCGAAAAGACTTGAAGAAGACCTGGAGAATGCCAAGGAGGCCGAGCATGACCTCGAAGGAAAGCTCGAAGAGCGCATGCAAGAACTACAGAAGGCGGAGCAGAAGCTGAAGAAATCGGCGGATGACTTGGCCCTGGCTCAAAAGGATCTCATCGAACAGAAGAAGGTGCTCGATGCCACATGGTCGCAGAAACTGGAGGAAGAGCGAACCAAATGGCGCGAGCAGACCATTTCGCCGCCCGCCTTGCTCCAGCAGGCACGGACGCAGTCCCCCGTTGCCTACAGCCGGAGACCAAGTGCTTTGGAGCCTGTCTCACTAGACTTCCGGCCCACGAGCCGTCGTTCCTCGACGTTACCAACTTCGCCAGAAGTTGGCACTCCCACTCGCCAGAACTCTTTCCCCAGCTCGACCTTGATGCTCTCTCCACCTCAAACCAACGGCTCCTCTCACCATGCTGTCCCAGAAACCCCGTCGATCACTTTCGAGCCCGACGAGTACTTCAGCCGCTCCGGGACGCCCTCGGCCTATGGCGGAGCAGCGACACAGCATTCGCGTGGCATCAACGACATTATCTCCGAGTCCACTGTAGGAGCGGGACCGTCCGTACAGCTTGTTGAGCGCATGAGCGCCACAGTCCGTCGCCTCGAGAGCGAACGCGCAGCATCAAAAGACGAACTCGCTCGAATCACTACACAACGTGATGAAGCGCGCCAGCAAATCGTTGACTTGATGCGCGAGGCGGAGGAAAAGCGATCCTCCGATGCTCGCGTGCAAGATCTTGAGAAGCGGCTCGAGGATCTTGACCAGAGATACCAGACGACGCTCGAGATGCTCGGCGAGAAGAGCGAACAGGTGGAAGAGCTTCAGGCCGATATTGCAGATCTCAAAAAGATCTATCGGGAGTTGGTTGACAGCACCATGAAATAAGAGGTGTTTGTGCGTAGTAGACTTGTTATTGCTGCCCTGTACATAGATTTGTTCGTTCGGGCTAGACTCCGATTTAGACGATGTGATGTGAGACATGCCTTGAAAGAGAAGATGTCATGAATCCGTTAATTACTAAGACAAAAATAATATGGAAACAGTTGTTCGATGAGCCTGAGAGTATCAAAGATAGACTCCGGGTATTAATCCTTCTTATATCTTCCTTCCATCCATCTGTCCTTCCCTATCCAACATATGGATAAACTATAACTCAATCCCCTCCCTCTCCGCTGTTTGCAGGATATAGCTCCGTACCTATACACATACCACTATCAGCACACACTCCCACCTCAAGAAGACCACAAAGAAAAAGTGAAAAGACTAACCTTGCTATCCGGAGCCATATCAATGGCCAAAACGCCATTCGAATCCCTCTTATCTGCCTCGGCACCGGCCTTGAGCAACGTAATCGCCGCATCGCCGTGGCCCTCTGATACCGCATGATGTAAAGCCGTCAGCCCATCTACATCCGTCGCGTTCACGGGACTTTTTCCGTCTTCCAGGAGAATCTTGATGATGGGCGACGATCCAATCGCCGCTGCCCGGTGCAGAGGTAGTTGTCCGCGCCTATCCTTTACTCTTGCGCTGCACTTGTTGGCGATGAGGGTGCGGACGGTGGAGAGGTTGGCTTTGGAGGTTGCGAAGTGGAGGGCGTTCTATCGTAGTTACAGACGCCATGTTAGGGAGAAGGTAGCCTAGGAGAAAGAAAGGGGATGTACCTGGCCCGAGACGCTCTTCGTGCTTACGTCTGCGCCTTTCTTGAGTAGGAGGTCGATGATGGGATCGCCTTCAGCGTTCTTCAAGCTGGATGCGATCATGAGAGGTGTCCAGCCGGAGCCATCCTATGGATATATTAGTGAGGGTTCTGACGTGGTATGTTTCTAGACGTTGAGGTAATGACGAACCTCGACATCGGGATCAAAGTGCTTGCTGGATATCAGTAGCTCCACGATCGGGAGACGGTTGTATGCTACTGCCCAGTGGATGGGGAGACGATCATCGTCATCCTTGACGTTTGATAGCTTGGGGTTGGCCTAGATTGCATCAGCGGGGGATGTTTCGAGCTAATAATGAGGCTGTATAGAGCTCTCTCATGGCGGTGCGGGGCAGCTTCGGAGTAGCACGTACACTGAGGAGAGATTCGGCGATTTGAGCTGGAGTAGATCTGTCAGAGCTTATCACAATGATCGGGTTGGATGCCTCGTACTTTTACCCTCCCGGGCAGCCTCGTGAAGAGGAAACTTAGCTTCCTGGCCGGTATTCATGATGGATGTGGCAGAATTACATGGGATCGAATAGCATCAACTAATCAATCGGCGGGGTTGGCATCTGGGCCTCGACACCTGAGAGTATCTATGATGCCTCAGGCATAAACTAGCTCGCCGCCCGCCGAAAATCAAGTCGAGCTTCGCTGCCGCTGATTCCAACTTCGCCTTCACTTTCAATCATCACCAATTCCACGCCTGCGCCGCGCTTTCTCCTGTCATCCCGGTGCTTAGTACACTTCGCATGAGGCGCACCTCTGATCTCGACTAAAAGCCCAATACACCCCGCCCCGGGGCTCAGGACGCGCCAACGACACGTCTCCGCAGCAAGCAGCTCAAACCTCCATACCGAGCGTCGGAATACCCTTTAATCCACCACCATGGACGTCGTTCCCTCTACCACCCCAGACGAGGCAGTGCGCCTCTCCGCCAAGCGGACGGCCGAGCTCTTCGGCTCCGACTACCTTATGGTCACCCCTTCCGTCGCCAATGGCTCCATCGCCACGTCCTACCGGCGCAAAGCAGAATACGAAGATGTGAAGGAACTCCCCCCAGC